TTGCTTCGAAAGCCCAGTCCGTGTCTGTGAGCGAGACCTGAGGATCATCACGGGACCCGAGGCTGGGCCTAGAAAGAGAAAGACACCTTTGTGACTGGTCCGCAATGGTGAAGGCTCAGCAAAAGGGAAGACAGGAACCCTGCGCGTGCACTCATCCAAGGCGGCGGCTGTCCTATTTTCCTCATACAAGAGAAGCGGTCGCTGGTATCTGAAGCACACTGTGCCTTCGAAAAAGTTACCTGCCACTTGTGACATGAGAAACGCGGTCAGCAAGCAGACAGAGGGCACCTGGATGCACGAGGTGCAGACCAGACGGACCACACCAGCCTTCGTGCTCTGTCCGCAGGCTTCCAGCCACAAGGCCAGTTTTCAGGACAAAGCTCCCTTGCTCTGTGGATGGACGGGCGCTGAGGCAATCCTTAGCATGGAGCCCAAAATCTCAGAGATTGGACCCTGAGGTCTCCTAGAGAGAAGAGGAGCGATATTGTTCTGGAGGACAAGCTTGCCAATTGAGGAGTAAGCACAGGCTGCAGCGAGCTCAAAGTAAAACTCGGCTTGACGAGATGAAGATGTCCCCAGAAATTGATTTTAAGGTACAGTTTTCACTTTAAATTGGGAACTGGGCTGAGAGAAGACCATCAGTGGCACTTTGACCACCGGCAGGTAGAGAAGGAAGACGCAGAGTGGAGAGACAGTAGCTCCAGAGCTAGTTTTTGACATAGGAAAAGTTAAGCTTCCTCTGACAGCCATAAGATGTCAATGCGTAGATAATTCTGCAATGTTCCCTTTACTTAGAATGGTAAAAACAAGTGCCATAAACATTAAGCATACAATCGAGCACACAGTACTCATTTTAAACATTGCTATGAACTAGCACCCCTCAAACCCCTGGGTACAAATTCAGGGGAGCACTTATGCCTTGTGACAGGGTCTTTAGAAGAATTTCCAGGGACCTTTGAATAAGAAGGAACTTTGCACACATGTTTAGCCTCAAGTGCAGGAACCTACCGAGTGTGAACAGTGTTGCTGGAGCACAGTGGGGGAGTGGGAGGGACACTGGCCGCGCGTGCTCCCTGCCTTCCTGCTGCTGGCACTGTTGCGGTGGCTGCTGTTATCTGGTGTGCCTTGGAACACTGAGATTGCTGACAGAGTTGCCTGGCTGGAAGGAGAAAGACGCTGTCGTCCAGACCAGCACACAGGGAGGCCCACCCCAGCTCTGAACTTGGGAGGAGGCAGCTTGTCTTTGCAGAATATATGCAAAGAAATTGAGCGCAATTCGTGGTTTGGTAATAATTTTCAGAGCAAGAATATGCAAAGCATTCCACTGTATTTTTGTTAGTTTCAAATTTTGTAAAATAAAAAAAAAGAAAGCAATCACCAAAGCGAATACTATGATTATTAGCTTGATGAAAGCTTTTTGAAACAATAATATGAACTCTTGAAATTCTAGTTGAATAATAGAAAAAGTATATTTTGCCTCAGTGATCATGTGAAAAACCCTAACATTTATTTTTTCCTTCCACAGATGGAAAAGTGTGTCCGTAACTAATATTATTTTCTATGTCTGACCTGTATCCCCATACTGTAAGTCTATATTTAAGAGCTCATGCTCTTCCGTCTTACTGAGTGGCACCACTCAGATAAAGACCATCGGCCTCCCAGGCTTGTTGGAGTGAGGAGAAGGTGCTTGGACCATGGGACCAGCATAGCTGCCGAGCTCTTAGGAAGAGGGAGAGCTGTTCCTGGGCCAGCCCGAAAGGGGTGTCTTCGTCCGCTCTGCCTCCCTCTCTGCTCCCTGGCCCCTGGGATCCAGCAGCTTCGCCCTGCCAGACTCTGCTGCATGGCCACTGCTGCCTGAAGTGGCCAGCAGCAGGCTGAAACCTCGGACCAGGAACCCAGAGTGGCCTCTGTTCCTTCCAACTGTGGGTGGCAGGTACGACGTCCAGTGACAGAACAGAAACTAAGACACTGCATTCTTGGCAGATGATAGCAGATTTTCGACAAACTGTATTAGACATAGGCTGAAATAAACTGCTAAATTTTTTTATAATTTTAAAGGCGTAGAAGAGAAAGTCTGCCTGCTCGTCTGTCTCACTTCTCAGAAGTTCAGTGGAGTTTGTGTGCTCATAAAGTGTTCACGCTCACTTGCTTCACTGTACTTTCTGCAAGCGAGATTTCACAACAGTGTGTACCATGCGCCCATACGCTGGACCTTGGTCAGGACAGACAGATGTTAAATAACGACACAAATAAACATATGATTTCAAGGTACGGTAAACAGCAGCGGGAAGATATAAGGTAACTTCTGTTCCTGTTCGAGGAGCCCTGGCCTGACCACAGAGACCAAGATGACTGTGCCGAGCAGGAGAAAGCAACGAAGGTGTGTGCAGCACAAGGGACACGTCCACAAAGTCTCTGAGGACAGCTGGACATCTGGAGCACCCAGGACACGAGGACAGAGGGTCAGGCGGGTCACCCATGGCCCTGGAGTCAGGTTTAGGGATTTATTTTAATAACAGTACTATGAAGAGTTTCACGATGAAAAGGGTAACAAAGTAATTCAAGGGCAAAAAAGAGAAAACTCTAGCAGCAAATTCAGTAAGGGGCTCTCATTTACAACTGCAGAATGGAAGAGCGCCGTGTGGATACAAGGAGACCAAGCGGCAGGACCACCGCCAAGGTGAAGGGTGGAGGAAGAAGGGTAACCCAGGATCCTGCCGCCCGCAGATTGACTGCCCTCAGGCACACAAAATGGGCCGGGGAGACCTCATGCTCCGCCCTTCCAACTGCCCACAGTGCCTTCTGACCTCCTGTTATTATGTAGTTGTTTCTAATTCGTAAAATTTTAGGTAACACGCTATAACTTTGTGTGTAAGTGGGGTGCGTGTGATATTCGAGCACATTCACAGGCTGTGCGTCAACCGATCCGGGTGGTAAGTGCTTCTCCTCCTCCTCACCAGTTGGTATTGGGTCTTCGAGTTCCTCTCTTCTCCGCCTTCATAAAGCGTGTACTCATTGCGAGCCCTGCTTACCCTGCTGTTCTGCACAGCAGGGAACCCATTCCCGCTGCTGCAGAGCCCACGCTCCGGGTCCTTCACCCCCAGCCTTCCAAACCTGCAGCCTCTGGAAGTCAGTATTGTCCTGCCAGGCCGACTCTTTCAGCTTCCACAGATGAAAGAGGACACAGGTTCTTATCTTTCTTGTTCCGGTTTATTGCACTTAACATAATGTCCTCCAGTTCCATCCATTTTCTTCAACATGACAAGATTTCACGCTTCTTTGTGGCTGAATAGTATTCCATTGCATAATATTCCACATTTTATGATATGAATACAGATTTAACCAATCATCAAGTTACTATCTCAATGAAGTTAACCATTTATCTTTCATCTTATAGTGCATCAGCATTTATGTAAGAGTCTTAATACTAAATATTTCTGCTTTTAAGAAAATAATCAAACTTCTTGAATTTAATTCAATATTGAAATTATGAAATTTAACTCAAACTTTAGGCTGCATAGACTCTTCTTCCCTAAATATTAGCTATTTATAATTCTAATGTTGAAATGTATTCTCTCAAAACTCCTTTACCCTTCAAGTCACTTAAATTATATACTTGCTCAATTTATTCCCCTCAGGGGCATCTGTCCACTCTCCTGTTCTCTAGAGGCCTAGAAAGGGTAAAGCCTAAGGGATGAACTTTTTACTTTAAACTTAAAAGACACAGATAACAAGAGATCATTTATAACACAACCTCTTATTTGTCTGAACTTTGAAATTTCAAATATCATCTTTTCTGTCCTGTGAAGATGTACACTTGTTTCTGATCCTCAATTTATTTGAGCAATGTGATTTCAGTTTATATATTTGTGCTAATATGTCTTAAATTGTCAATTTAGCTATATATATGTCACATTTATTATTTTCAGGAGAGTCACCTCTGACACATGATGAAAATGGGAAAATACAAATGTTATCATCGGATTCTTTTTCAAAATATATAGAAAGTGGGACTATAATGTAATGAATCAGATATTTTATTTGGGAATCTCCTTGAATTTTTGCAATGTCCTATATGACACATAAACTACAGAGTGCTAAAGAAATTATACAATAATACAATTTCACTGTGAATTAATAGGGAGCTATAAATGTGGAACTACCCTGCCCCTTGGCCTTGCCAGTAGCACCGTCCTTTACAGAGCCATCCTATCTCTCAGTGTTTTTTGAGCTCACATGTCTGAAGCCATCCTTTCATTTCTACCCAAGAGTGGATGTCATTTCCAGTGTTTGAGTTTTTTAGATTTTCTTGTCTCAAACTTCTTAAGCAGACACTTAGATAGTCCAAGAGTATAAGATGAACTTTATTGGCCTGATTCCTAAAATGACTGTCCTAGTTAAGATGTGTGGAACAATACAGCTACAGAGCAGTGTTTGCTGCTGCTCTTCCCCTGGTAACACTAGTAAGTCCAGTGAGCACCCGAGCAGATGCCTGTGATGCCGAGGGGCTTACGTGGTGCCCATTCTCCCACCAGGCTCTGAGTATTATGCTGATTCAGGAGCATCTCTGGAATCCCAAAGTAGAACATGAAGAGAAGCAACTACGGCTCCTACTACCATGGAAAGATTGTATAAAAGGCAACACATACGGTATTTGTGCTGTGTGAGGACTTCTTACACCTGATCTGCCATTTCTTTCATGCAAACTTCTCAGTCCAGCCAGTCCTACAGCACGTGGAAGCTCAGGGCCCATCTGCAGCCAGGGCTCGGCCACAGTCTGCCCCTTCCAGACGGGATGGGGAACCTACAGCACGCATGCCACGTGGGCACACAGACACAGATTGGGGTGCACAGAAGCACTTCCTCAAGGCTTTCATGGGCACATGGCCCTGAAAGGATGTCTGCACCTTCTGGAGCTAACGGTGCAGGCGCTGTCCTGACTGCAGAAGTCTTCAGAGATCACATGACCCAGAAGAGACCCAGGTAAGGCGGGCACAATGAGAAAAGCACGATGCAGAAAGAATGAGCTAGAATTTTATCTTGATTTGTTTGAAAGAAAGTTTGTGTTATTATTTGTTAGGAATCTGTTTGGTTTACTCAGAAACTACTTTGGAGATAACAGTACTCGGTGTAATAGCTATTGTTACCCTCATTGTTTGGTTATGAAACATTTTGTATAAAATATAACTCTGAAAAGTTGATGTTGAATCTCAAAGCCAAAGAGCCACGAAGACCCATTTCACGCCAAAGGAGCCTCCAAAGATCGGGAGCCACAGCGGAACGCAGTGATTCTTCACCATGGTCCGCGCTGAAATCCGCAAGCTGCAGCTCCTTTTCTCAGATCCAGCCCAGGCTCAGCCACCCCTTTGCCCGCGTCCCCCTCCCTTCCCCTTGCAGAGCTGAGCAGCGTTGTCTGACGGGACGCCACCCCTACCAATCATGGCAAGGAGAAGGGAGTGAGTCTCCTCTGAGACTGCGGGGAGGGAGAGACACACTCCAAAGCTCCCTGCGTGCACTAGTGTCAAATGGAACAAGGAGAGCATTTTACCAAATACTGTAAGTATTTGTTACCTATTCAAGAACATGTTAATAGTGTTCTAAGTGTTATCCACTTGAGTGAAAACTTAAGTTATTTCTGCACATTACTAAAGCTATGATTAAGTGTGTTATATATGTAGTCTGACCGAGGTGAGAACAGTCTACGTTACTCAACAGACTTTTCATCAGAGGAGGAATGGGCGAGGAGGACGCAGTAAATCTGCACAATATAACGTTGCCCAGCCTTGATCAGCAAGGCAGTCCTGCCAGATGTGCCAGCCCGGGTGAGAAGGGAAGGCTGTGTGCGAAGTGGAGTCAGGCGGGCACAGGAAGTCGGCGCTGCGTGACGCACTTGGACGTGGAAGCTAAGAAAGTGGAACTCGGAGGGGCTGAGATGAGGGTCAGCTCAGCACCTGCTGGCGGCGGGTGGGGGTCGCCGTGGGCATTTATTAAAGGCTATGAAACTTTCGGTTAGGCAGAAGGAAAAAGCCCAAGCAACCTACCGTACAATGAGGTGAATATCGTTAAAAAACTGCACTTTACAAATCACTGAGATGGCAGATTTTATGAATTCTCCACCTAAGAAATGATAGGCAAGTAAGGTAATGCATGTGCTAATTAGCTCAGGGGATCCACTCCGCAGTGTATGCATTCCGAATATCATGTTGCACATACGCCTTTTAGTTATAAAGCAACGCTCCCCAAACTACTACGACTTTGTCCAGACAAAACAGAGTACTTTATGCCTATTAAGAAAATCCAATTTACACGTTGAAATACCCAAAATAGAAATTAGAAAATACAAATGATCTCACCAGATAATCTCATCAAATGTCTAGAAAAGACTTAGCAACAATTCAACACAAACTCTTGCAGTGGGGCACACCTAGCTCACTATTAAAAACGCAATCATTGTAATCTACTCTGATAACAGAGCACAAAAGAAAACTCACATCTTATTACTTGACAGAGACAAAAATTTGACAAAATTCAACACCCATTTAAGGTTAAAATTCCCCCCAAGTAACAGGAATACAAGGGGGCTTTCATATGTTGATAAACACTACTGATAAAATCATACTTGATTTATTTAATTCATTAAATTCATTGGTACATTTTAGGTACACAACATGATGATGTTCATCACTGGGAATTTGTACCTGTAGATGACATATCTTGGTCATTCTTAATGTCTGAAAGGCTGCTTTCTGGAGATCAGGAATAAGAGGACAAAATTCATTCTGATCATTCTTATTCTTGGATATTTTATCTAGGTCAGTAAAATAAAAGGAAGACTAGCATATAAGGAACAAAGCTGTCTCTTTTCTGATGGCATGACTGTCTGTGTCCAAGACCAGAGAGTATGTGAGAATAAGAGCAGCAGCCACAAAGTCCTCAACCTGTGAGTGAGTTTCCTAAGGCCAGGTGATATAAGAAAGTCAAATGAAATCAGTTGCCTTTTATATATGAGTAATGGGCAGCAAGTTAAAATATAATACCATTTACAATCAGTTAAAAAATAAAACACTTAAATATAAATATAGCAAAACATATTCAGTACTTGAATACTCAACATTTTAACACATGAAAGAAATTAAAGAAGACATATGAATGGAGAAATTATTTGGCATAGAAAAAAATACCAATTCTTCCCTGAATTGAATAAAATTTTCAGGAAATTTCTATTTAAAATCCCAGCAGGGATTTTGCAGATGTAGAGAATGTAATTTTCAAACCATAGCACTTTTCTTATGAAAAAAAATCTCATAATAGCTAAAATTCTTTCAATACAAGACTGTGTATTTCATGGCTAGAGCAATCAAGACCATATGATACTGGCAAAGTATTAATGAAGAGAGAGGCACTTAAATCAACAAACCGTGCTGCATCGATGGGACACCTACAGTGGAAAATACCGAAGGAAGGGAAGGAAGGAAAAGGGAAGAGAAAGGAAAGAAAACAGGGGAAGGAAGAAGGAAGGAACATATGAAAGGAAGAAGAGAAAAGACAGGAGGTAAGGAGGGAATGGACACTGACTCACATCTTACCTTATAAGAAAGCTAACTCAAAGTAAGTCGAAGGTCACGTGTAAAGGTACGATGAATAACCACAACACTTAAAAATAATTAAAACCTACCAAACCTTTAGAATTTAGGACCAGGCAAAGAATTTTTAGATTTGGAACCAACATCGTGACCTGTGAAATTGAAGTTGATAAATTAGTCTTCATAACAATGAAAAAATTTTACTCAGTATATTTCACTCATGTTAAAATGACAAAAAGAAAAACTACATGTGAGAAGAAAATGATTATGCCATATATACATACATATATGACAAAAGAGTAATATCAAGAATACTTAGAAAACTACCTTTCAACATTGAAAGGCAAAAAAGAAATAATGAAAAAACCTACTTAGAAATAAATAAAACATAAAAAGTAATGAGAATATGGGCAAAAATCCAATGAGACGTTTCATGCATGTGAGTACTCAGCCAACAAATTAATACGTGAAATAATTAATAAAATTAATATGTGAAATAATTAAATAATATGTGTTCCACATCATTAGCTGCTAGCAGAGTACAGATGAAAACCAATCAGGACAGCAGAGACAAAAAAAAAAAAATAGTAACAATGCCTAATCCCAGCACTTAAGAGGATGAGGCAGGAGGATCGCTGTGAGTTCCAGGCCAACCTGGGATACGTACTGAAATCCTGTCTCAAAAAACAAAACAAAAGAAGTAACAATGCCAGTTCTGGAGAAATATGGGAGATGGGACCATTCACACAATTATGATGGGGAAGTAGATAATAATACAGCCACTCTGGTGAGCAGGCTGTCAGTATTTCTCCTTTGTTCAATTTAATTTCATTTAGCGAATATTTAATATAATTTAAAGAAAAGTAATATTTAGTTGCTACAATAAAAATATGTAGTAATGTACAAAAAGTTAAGAAAAATACATTATACAGTTCTTGTCCTTAACAAACATATGATTTGCCCAGAGAGGAAACTTATAAAAGTAACTGCAGAAAGGTCAACAGTAAATTCCAAATTTTGTGTTCTAGAAGCTGTATGTGATGGAAGGTAAAACTTCATGGACAAAGGACTTTGGATCTGCACGGGAAGAAACACAGCATCCAGAGCATGGAGGGGGGGTCTTTTTGTTTTGTTTTTTACACGAGGGATCGAACTCACAACCTTGGTCTCGCAAGGCAGATGTGCGCCATGGGGCCGGGAAATTAAGGGCCATGCTGAGCAGAGGGCACGTGCGCGGGAGGCTGCCTCCTTGGAAACCGGAAGAGGCCCAGTCCCAGCCCTTCCTTTGTACTCCATTAACGCGACCTCGGCCTTTCTCCCCCGCAATCTGAGTGATCTATCTAAAAGTTACTAAAATGAGAAGCTAGAAAATAATAAACAAGAAATAAATACTGTGAAATATAATAGAAAAAAGTCGCAATGTGAAATAGGAAGAAAAGGGCTAAAGGTGTAGGGACAGTGGGAAGGGTAGAGGAAGGGGAATAAGGGAGAGGGAAAAAATGTGAGAAAAATGTAACAATGGAATTAAAGTCTTGGTAGGTGGGGAGGGGAGGGGGTGAAGGGAGGGTGGGGACAAGGGGAAAAAATGAGAACCAAGACCTGTCATACAAAGGTACAAGATCCCAGTAATGAATGTAACTGTACTGTATACCTAGAATGTACCAATAAACTCAATTTTAAAAAAGTCATCTGTGAAGAGAGAGGGTCTGAGGGACTAGAGAGCCAGGAGGAAGGCAGGACACTTTGGGCTTTGTCCCCATGAGAGGACAGAAAGAGCTTAGGCACTGCCATCTTGTTAAATGTCTTGACATAGCACAAGATTATTAAAAAGCTGTGTCATTCTCTCTAGTATAGGCCAAGTATGATAATATAAATCTTTTACCAACAGGGTAATTTTTTATTTATTATCAAAGTTTGTAGGAAATTAATTACTCATTAGCAAAGCCTGCACTTTTGGAGAATTTTTAAAAGATTAATTCACATTTTATCATTTATCATTGCTTAGGAAACCAAGAAATTTTAAAAGTTATACCATTTATGCATTTATTAATATACTTAAGCCAAATATATCTAAATTATGCTTAAAATTAAATCATTGAATTTTTAATTATATGTGTTAAATATTTATTTAAAATCCTACGGTATCAAAGAATAACATTGTCTTATTCATATAATCATCTTCACAAATTAGAGACCTAAAAACGTGTCTTCCGATTATCTTTATGCCCTTCAAACCAGAATGATGAGTGGGAGAGGAGAGAGCCATACCATCAAATCAGATGAGTACATTGTTTCTGTAAGCCAGAGAAAAGTTCTGTTTGAAAAATAGCACATCTCCAATTAAAAATCTCTCAGGAAAACAAGAAACCAAAACATGAGCCCTGATATTCCCCACTGTGCGGTCGGGAGATATTTTTAGGCCATAACACTGGGAATGGCACTTGAGTCACAGTTCTCTCTAAGCTGAGTGAGGGTGAGCTTTCATTGGACCTTCCAGAGTTGAAAAGTCCAACGCAAGAGGCATCGTGTAGCACGCTGAGAAGAAATTCACTTTAGATGTGCAACAAAACCAGCCCCAGATGAGCACCTGCTCTAGTCCATCTATTAAAGATTTAAAGTGTGACAATAAAGGAATATTTCAAAATAGCTTTCTGTCTCTCAGAATGTATAAGATGTGTTATGTACATGTACAAGTCCCCCGTGATGGATACAATCATTATTCACTGCAAACATGGTAAATTTTAAAAATAATACACATTACCCAGCACACAAGAAGGTAAAGTTTCTGTCTGACAATCAGTAAAATTACCAAAGAGAAAAATATGACCATAAGGTTATAAAAAACAATCCATCAAAATTTAAGTGTAAATGGCATCGAATTAGTTGACTAATTGCACTAAAGTGTATATATGTTCAAGACTGTACATCTTGAATAGACACAGAAGATATGACTACCCAAATCAAACCTATAATATGAAAGTTTCAAATTATGAGATGAAAAACATTGGCAAGGATTGTCATTAGACACCAAGGAAGAAGAGATTACTGAATTTGAGGACATAGAAATAGAAAGTATTCCTAATAAAGCACAGATAGAAATTACTAGAGAAAAAAGGGAAAAGGGCAAGAGGAGTTGTCAGGCCACACAAGTAGACTAATGTATTTGCCACTGAAGAGGCTGAAGGAAACAGGAAATCTAAAAGAAAAAAATTAATCAAAAATTCTTTATATAGAAAAAATGTCTTTCAGGAAAAAAGGGTGAAACAAAAATATTTCCAGATGTATAAAAACTCAGAAATTCATCATGAGAAAGTCCACTGTACAAGAAATATTGAAAACTCTTCAGGTAGAAAATAAAGGCAAAATAGATTTACAAATAGAATATAAAACACAACAAAAGTAAATATGTAGCTTTAAAAGGAAATTTAAATTAATTAAACCTGTAAAAAGATTGTTATTTAAAGAAAAATAATAATATGTTTTGAGAGTTATAATACATGTAGAAGAAAATATATGAGAATGGTGTACAAAAAGTCAGAAGCAGTTAGAAGAAAATGTACTAGTTTAAAATTTAGGCTATACATAAAATAATATTTAAAAATCTCTAAAGGTAGAATATAACAATTTAAGCATATATCATAAAATTCTAAAGCAACCATTTAAAAATTTTCATAATGACAATGGAGTCAAATTTGAAATCAATAGCAAAAGGTTCTGTAACAATCCTCAAATATGCATAAACTAAATATTTCCAAATAATCAACAAAGAGAAGAAAACAGAGTGTAACTTGTTTGAAGAGAGAGCACAATAAAATACTCAATACAAGTATTTATATATAACATATGATATATCAGAATATAGTAGATGAAGTGAAAAAATACTTAAAGACAAAAATGTTCAGCTCTAAATATTTATTTCTACTTGAAAAGAAGAAAGAGTTTTGAATCAATAACTTCAGCTTTAACCTTTACAAATTAGGAAAGAGGAAAACCTCAAGCGAAAAGTAAGTAGATAAAAGAAAATAAGTATAAAAGGAAGGAATGAATAAAACACAGAAAACATTACAAAAAAGCAATGAAACCAAAAATGACTCATTGAGATTAAAAAATAATTTAAATCACATTGATCAGACAGAAATAAAAAATATTGCTATGTTAAATGGCAAACGATGTCACTATTAACTCTACAGATGTTATAGGATAATAATGGTATATTATGAAAAGCATTAAATTGAGTGAATTTGGAAAAATTAATCCAGCACTTGAGAATCGCAAACTGCTAATTTGTGGTATAGCAGTTGTAAATGCATATTATATACACCAGCAGTGGGGTAATTACAAGATTTTAATGTTAAAATTTAGAGAATTAACTATTGATAAACTATTAACTTGTAAAACACAATGCCAAGCATGCAAATTACTCAAAAAAGCCTTTACTTTTTTTTTTTTTTTT